TGTTTTCTGGGCAAATCAAACAGACTTCTAGAATCCCACCTGTGCTGCCGACTCTGGTGCTGGGGAGGAGTTGCAGCCTTGTCCATTGCCATGACTGGGATGTGAGATTTAGTATTTTGCCTCTGGGGTGTCATCAGAGGAAGAAGAGGACCCCCCTTCAGAGGCCAAATTCCCAGAACGAGCAAGAGGCCAGCACCTCCATTTCTAGCTGGAGGGTCCTGCAGGTGGAGCAGAAAGTAGGAACTGAAACTACGTCTCCAGGGAGTCTGTCTCTTGTCTGTTCTGAATAAGGAGGGGAAAGGGGTCCTTGACTTCTGAAGCCAAATGGTGAATCTTAACGTGATTTCTGGAGGTTGAAGTGTGCAGACCATCAGCCAGAAAGCCGAGTAAATGCTCTTCAGATCCATCCACCTTCTTAAGACGTCCCTTGTCGTTCTGGAAGCTTCCAGTCATTGAGAATACCTTTTGAGATACTGGGATAGAATTAGGAAGAACTGGCCTTCAAGTCCTGGCTGTGCCACTTACTAGCCAGGGGACCCTGGGAAGTCTCTCGAGTTCTCCGAACCTTTTATTCTCACCTTAATTATGCCCATTAGCGAAAGCCTCAGGGGCCCTTGGGAGTTAGAGCTAAACTCCGGGAGGAAGGTGGGCACCTGTGGAAGGTGGGATTTCTGATTAGATCCTGGATGAACACTCTTGGCGTATATCCTCCGGATTAGGATGGCTGTCTGCTCCTGGAATGTAATTTAAACTAATTTCAGACACACACAGCTATCTTACATTGTGTCTGCTTGAGTATTTTAAAGTAAATGGTAGACAGCCTGACCAGCTGTTAGCTATTATGGGAAGCCAGGAGGCCGGCAGGTATTACGTACCAGATTGTTAGGGCTCCACCTGGAGGGTTAGCTGGGGCCATCCAAGGATCTCCCACCCGCCCCTTAGCACCCTGGGTTTTCTCTGACCTTTGAAAACCCAGTTTGCTGGTTCTTTCATTATCTTCCTGCTTTTTGCATTGGGGCCTAGTCTTTTTTAGAAAAGACTTAAAAATCCATTTAATGAATGCATTTTGTCTGAATCTGAAATCAAGCTTACCTTATCTGAAACACAGAGAAAATTCTGGTCTTCTCTTCAAAGGGAGCAATAAGTATTTGTTGGTTTAAACATGACATCATTTAATGACGTCAAAAGCAGACTCTTGCCAGATCCTCGCACGGTGGGGATCCCAGCCCACTTTCATTCGCCTGGTATAGTTACAGCGGCTTTGATCACATCAGGTCATCCTGCATGAAGGTAAATTCTTCCTGCTGAGACAGAACTCAGGAATTTGCTCGTTGGTTATAATTGTTCCCTAACTTTACAAAAACTCAGGAACTCTGAGGCAGGACTGTAAGTCAGCAATGCGGAGTTGTTTACCTCTGTAAGGACTTCTACCCTGATGAGGGTTCAGAGCTGCTGCTTCCTGAGGTGGATGGAACCCAGAGTCAGTAAGAATTTTCTGAATTAGTGGAAAGGAGCTGGGGCCCCACGTAACTAACAAGAAAGAGAGCCTCTTTCCTGTTTATACCCTCCAGTGTCTAGATTTTTTTTTTTTAAGGTATTGGAAAGGAATCGCCTCAGATTACACTGGGACTCCAAACTTTGCCTGTAATTAGCATTTTAAAAATATTTGACACATCGCACACACAACTCATCATTTCTGACTCAGGGATAAAGTTAGTTTTCTTGACACTGCAAAAATGCACCATCAAATGCTGTTCTCAGATATTTAAACTTTTGAATTGGGACAGTTGTTGCTAGTTCAGAAAGTATCCTTGGAAAAAGTTGATACCGTTTTTTCAGTTCTTAAAAAAAAAGCCGTAGGGCATCAGCTCCTCCAGCGTCCAACACTGGGACTGTGAAGCATCCAGGAGAAAGGGACAGTGCTGACAAAGTGTTCTCCGGGATGCTGTGGAGATAGGCTCAGTTACTCCAATCTCTGTGATCAGCAACAAGACATTAACATAGGCAAGTTTTTCGCTTCACCTGACCAGACTAAGTAAACCCCAAAATAGACTTACAGCTTCCTAGGAAGTATGAGAAATCCAGTTTTTGTTAAGAAAAAGGGTGTTGTCTCCTGGAATTTATTGTTGCCGTTAATTGCTCCACGCCCATGCCCTACAGAACAAGCCTCCTGCATTTTTAATGAATGAATCAATGACTAAATGATCTATAGAATTAATTATTTGCCTTTTAGCTTCTTTTAACCTTACATTGCCCTCTTTCCTCTCATGTCAACTATTGAAAAGTGTTCTCCATTTCAGTAGAGCAATGATTTTTAACCATATTTCAATTCAGCAACTTCCTACTATTTTCCTGTTCCGTCCCCACCCCCACCCCCCCCCAAAAAAAGCCAAAAGAGATAGAAGGAAAGCTCTATTATTCCCATGAAGAATATTAGCAGAGAATCATTGGCCAAATGAGGCCGGGGGTTGGGGAGTGGTTCAGTAGTCTGACTTCACCATAGCAATACCGTGTCTCTTTTTGTTGGTCAGCTTATTCCATTAATAACTTTCCGTGGAGTAGGCTAATTTTGACCTAGGTTTTCTTGAAGACTGAATGACAGCCAGTAAGTTTTAGGCATTCAAATTTCCTGTAATTCTTTTTTTTTTTTTTTTTTTTTTTTTTGCGGTACGCGGGCCTCTCACCGTTGTGGCCTCTCCTGTTGCGGAGCACAGGCTCCGGACGCGCAGGCTCAGCGGCCATGGCTCACGGGCCCAGCCACTCCGCGGCATGTGGGATCTTCCCGGACCGGGGCACGAACCCATGTCCCCTGCATCGGCAGGCGGACTCTCAACCACTGCGCCACCAGGGAAGCCCTCCTGTAATTCTTGAATGATATAGAAGTTACTGAAGTTACTGAATCTCCTTACGAAATGAAGTTTAGTTAACTTTTTTTAAAGGACAGTAGCAACATTTTTGCCATGCCTCTTTAGTTCATTCTAAAGACAAAAGAGCCACTAGTTAACAGTGGTCAGAAATGAAGTAAAAACAAAATAAAGAGAGTGGAAGTTATAAATATTAAGTACCAGACTTTGACAAAGGCCAGATCAAGGCTGGAAGATCCTTTGAGACCAGAAGGTGCTGACAAAGAAGTAATATTCATTATTGTTGCCTATTTCTAAGGAAGGAATTTATATTACTTGATTGATTTAAGTCAAAGAGGAATGTGGGAAACACAGTGAAGGAAACCCCCAGTTCATGGGTAATACCTTCCAGTTCATGGATGACCATGAGAGTTTTTCAACATTCTGACAGCAATGCAGAGCACATAGCATGAACTTCCACATTTTTCTAGATATTATGAACAAATCCATAACTGTTCACTTTCCTTGAAAGGATTTTTAAATTAATCCCCTGAGAATCATCCTAAGGTGGTGTTTTAATATTATATTCTAAGCCTTTAACAATGTTTAAATTTAAATAAAGGAAAATTATACCGTATTGCAGTTTTGCATTGTGTTAAGTCAGTAATACCAGGCACCCTATAGACCTGAGACTTGAAACAAAGCTGATAAAAGTGTTAGTGAAATCCTTGAGGGGAGCTCACATTAAGCTCACAACTTACCGCTGAATTATCTGAGACAAACCGGAGTCCTTTGGTATGAAAAAAAAAAAAATCCTAGAGTTTGAAAATTAATCTTAACTAATGCCAAGTAAAGTGACATGAGATTGATAACTGATGAAAAATATGATGCATTTAAAAACATTAAGAAGGTACAGTTTTTTTATTTAAACACAAAATTGGAGCTGTCACATACAAAGCATTTTAGGAACTAGATGGGAGGGGCCACCATCCACTAGCTTTTCACTCCTTAACCAAGGAGCATTGTTTTGAGAACAGAACTGTGTGGTCAGTGGCTTTGCTTCTGTGTTTATAATGCACGTGGTCAATTACAGCCATGGCAGTGTGGCACTGAAGCTCTTAAAGGGCCAATGAAGAGATCTACTGTTTTCCAATATTTTATTTTGGAAAAAATTTTCAAAAAGTTTCCTGTCTACAGAATAATTGCATTACATCTGGCTGAGAATCATGTTTTCAAGATTTGTTCCTGCCAAACGACCTTCTTTTTATAATTGGGGACATACAAATAGTTCTCTTACATTTCTGCAGAACTTTGCTATGAAATTTTTTGAAAAATTCTGATACAATTGCTATATAATCTCTTCCACTTCAGAAATTATTATTATTATTTTTTTGCCAGTACGTGGGCCTCTCACTGTTGTGGTCTCTCCTGTTGCGGAGCACAGGCTCTGGATGCGCAGGTTCAGCGGCCATGGCTCACGGGCCTAGCTGCTCTGCGGCGTGTGGGATCTTCCCGGACCGGGGCACGAACTCGTGTCCCCTGCATTGGCAGGCGGACTCTCAACCACTGTGCCACCAGGGAAGCCCCACTTTAGAAATTATTTGAGCAATATCATCAGATGATCCAAATCCTAATTTACTTTAAAAAAAATATTTATTTTATTATTTATTTAGGCTGCACTGGGTCTTAGTCACAGCACTCGGGATCTTTATTGCGGCATGTTTAGTTGCAGCATGTGGGATTTTTAGTTGCGGCACGCAGGCTTCTTAGTTGCGGCATGCATGTGTGATATAGTTCCACAACCAGGGATAGAACCCAGGCCCCCTGCATTGGGAGCGCAGAGTCTTCCCCACTGGACCACCAGGGAAGTCCCCCTAGTTTAATTTTAAATGTAAAAACGGGACTAGCATTTATTGAAAGTTCTCTGGACACCAGGTAAACAAAATGGAATCTGTAAAATTGAGAAGGTTTAGGTACCCATTACTGCAACAAAATGAATATATAAAGGATTTTTTTAGAAGAGAAACTTGTATTCAAAAGATCCTGTCATTGTGGTTTCAATTTTCCTTCCAGTTAGTTATCAGTTAATGTCTGAAGTTCATATCCATAAGTGATGTGGTCTCTAACCCTGACTTCTGTTTTTTCTCTTTTTCCCAGAAGGCTCCCGAGCTTTCCGAGGATGATATCCGGCTAAAAAACGAGAGAGACAACTGTAGTGGCAATCCCCTGGAGCCTGCCACCAGCCCTCTTCCCCCAGATCACAAAAACATGGAAATTGAGGTCTCTGTTGCAGAATGTAAGAGTGTTCCCGGAATCACCTCGACTCCACATTCCATGGACCACCCCTCCCCCTTCTACTCACCCCCCCACAATGGCCTCCTCGCTGATCACCATGAATCTCTGGATAATGATGTGGCCAGAGAGATCCGATATCTAGACGAGGTGCTGGAGGCCAGCTGCTGTGATTCTGCTGTGGACGGAACCTACAACGGCACGTCTTCCCCAGAGCCTGGAGCAGCCATCTTGGTGGGCAGCCCAAGCCCACCTACCCACACGGCCGTCCAGCCGGAACCCACCGAGAGAGTGGCTGGCAGGCAGGCTCCCCCTCCCCTGGAGCTCCATCAGAGCACCTCTGACACCATGGCAGAGGGTGAAAGAGCCAACGGCCGCCCCCCCGACCAGCCCAGAGACCTGCTGGGGAACAGCCTGCAGGTGCCCGTGAGCCCCAGCTCCTCCACCAGCTCGCGGTGCTCCTCCCGAGACGGAGAGTTCACGCTCACCACGCTGAAGAAGGAAGCCAAGTTCGAGCTGCGTGCCTTCCACGAGGACAAGAAGCCCTCCAAGCTCTTTGAGGATGACGAGAGTGAAAAAGAACAGTACTGCGTCAGGAAAGTGAGGCCTTCAGAAGAGATGCTGGAGCTGGAAAAGGAGAGGCGAGAACTCATCCGGAGTCAGGCCGTGAAAAAGAATCCTGGCATCGCCGCCAAATGGTGGAACCCTCCGCAGGAAAAGACCATCGAGGAGCAGCTGAACGAGGAACATCTGGAGTCGCACAAGAAGTACAAGGAGCGCAAGGAGAGGAGGGCTCAGCAAGAGCAGCTGCTGATACGGCGGCAGCCGGCCGCGCCGCAGCTCGGCACGGCCCCTGCATCCTCTCGAGAACGTTCCAGCGTGACTGACAGCGCAAAGGAGGACATCGTCACGGAGCAGATAGACTTCTCCGCGGCTCGCAAACAGTTCCAGCTGATGGAGAGTTCCAGGCAAACAGTGGCCAAGGGCCAGAGTACACCCAGGCTCTTCTCCATCAAGCCCTTCTACAGACCTCTGGGGCCAGTCAACTCAGACAAGACACTGACCATCTCGAGGCCAGCTTCTGTCGGGGGACCTCCCGAAGACCCCTCAGCAGCCAAGGGACAGAAAGCCCACTGTGCCCTGGAGAGCCAGTCTGCTGGAGGAGGGGGCCAGGGCAGCACAGCTCCTCAGGGGAAGGAAGGGCCGTACAGTGAGCCCTCCAAACGCGGGCCCTTATCCAAACTGTGGGCAGAGGACGGCGAGTTTACAAGTGCCCGGGCTGTCCTCACTGTGGTCAAAGATGACGAACCTGGGATTTTGGATCAGTTTTCAAGGTCAGTCAATGTCTCTTTGACTCCAGAGGAACTTGACTCCGGCTTGGATGAGCTGTCGGTGAGGTCCCAGGATACCACCGTCCTGGAGACCCTGTCCAATGACTTCAGCATGGACAACATCAGTGACAGTGGGGCCTCCAATGAGACAACCAATGCTCTCCAGGAAAATTTGCTGGCTGATTTTTCTCTGCCCCAGACTCCCCAAACTGACAACCCCTCAGAGGGCCGAGGAGAAGGTGTCTCCAAGTCATTCAGTGATCATGGTTTCTATTCCCCTTCGTCCACGCTGGGAGACTCTCCATCGGTTGATGACCCCTTGGAATATCAGGCTGGTCTCCTGGTGCAGAATGCCATTCAACAAGCCATAGCCGAGCAAGTGGACAGAGCTGTGTCTGAAACCAACAAGGGTGGAGCAGAACAGCAGGGACCTCAAGCAAGTCTGGAGGAAGCTGGGACTGGGGCTTCCAGCTCAGAGAAGCCTCAGAGCATGTTTGAACCACCTCAGGTGTCCTCCCCTGTTCAAGAGAAAAGGGATGTATTGCCAAAGATTCTGCCTACTGAAGACAGGGCGCTCAGGGAAAGGGGGCCCTCCCAGCCACTGCCGGCAGTGCAGACCAGTGGCCCAATAAACATGGAGGAGACCAGACTGGAAGGGAGCTACTTCAGCAAGTACTCAGAGGCAGCTGAGTTGAGAAGCACAGCCTCACTCCTGGCCACTCAAGAGTCCGATGTGATGGTTGGGCCCTTCAAGCTGAGGTCCAGGAAGCAGCGGACTTTGTCCATGATCGAAGAAGAGATCCGAGCAGCCCAAGAAAGGGAAGAGGAGCTGAAGAGGCAGAGACAAGTCTTGCAGAGTACCCAGAGCCCCAAGGCAAAGAATGCCCCATCACTGCCCTCCCGAACATCGTGCTACAAAACTGCTCCAGGTAAGTGGAGTGCCACGGACCAGAGACAGATGCTGCAGAAATCGGTGTTGCTGATTCCAGCTTTCAGGGTTGTATATATGTGGACCCTCCTCTGTGTGTGGCTGGAATTGGTGTCAGGGGCACACTGGAACGGGGATTTCAGTGTTCGGAGACACACATTGGGAGTGTCAGAGTGTCCTCTGGAAGAACCCTGAGCCTAGATGGTGTTTGCCATTTCCCAAAGGATGTAATTGCTCCTTTCTTGTCCTTCTGCTGTGGTCTTGGTTTACTGTGGAGAATTGTTCTCTCTTGGCTGAGGGAGAGGCTATGTGTGGCCCAGAGTCGGCCCTTGGGTGGACTGTATTGAAGTCAGTATCTGCAGTTAAATCGAACCTATCTGATCTGGGGATGTCTTCTCCTAACCCCTTCTGAACGCTGAGTGTCTTCCCAGCAATGACAGGAATGGGTTGGTGTTGCAGATGGACCCGTAGAAGATGTTTTGGTCCATCTTCTGTATAATTGATCTTTATGGATTTGTCTTTCTTTACATCTTTCTTTAAGTCACCATAAAACAATTACTTTGGAATCAAGGTGGTCGCATCTATTTGTGTCCTGTGACCCTTTTGGAGAAGTTGAGTTACTATATGTAAAGACAGTCCTCTAATCTTCTCCCATTGCCTGGACCGTCCCTATCTTGAATACTTTGTGTAGATGGTTGATGTTAATTACAGTGGTAATTATTGTTGCTACTATTATGGATAACACTGTGACGAGTAATTTTTGTTTCTCATTTGGACATGATGGCACTTGGGGAACCACACATCCTACCAAAGAGAAGAGCTGTTCAAGGTGTGGTCCAAGCTAGTTCTTGACTATTCCTGATCCATGCTAAGTACAGACATAGGGAGTAAGCATTTGAAAACTCTTGGAGCAATTTGATAGTGTCCTCAAGTGAAAGTGTGGGATTTTGTATTTTTTTAATGGATGGTCCATAATAGATTGGGCAGAAACACTGTTCCTTCACTAGAGATAATTTAAGAAGTCTTGCCTTAACATATAATTACTGGCATTTCTCTTGGTCCATCCAGATCTTAAGCCCATTGACACTTGGCTTCCATCAAATGTATAATAACACAAGTTAACTCTTCCCATTATTAACTTTTAAATTTGAAATAATCTCAAAGCTAAAGGAAAGTTCCCTAGTTAAATACAAATATCTTTTTTATTCTGAATTAAGAGTAAATTGCCAACATGATGCTTGATCACCCCCAGTTTTGTAGAATGCCCCTCAGTTTGGGTTTGCCTGATGTTTTCACATGATTGTGTTCAGGCTACGCATGTTTGGTAGGAATACCACAGAGCTGATGCTTATTCTTCTTACAGCATCCAGTCAGGTAGTACGTGGTGTCAGTTTGTCCCATTACGGGGACAGATGTTAACTTTTTTCACATGATGCTAATTTTGATCGCTTGATTGAGGGTTTCTGTACAATAGTTACTTTTTCCCTTTGTAATTAACAAATATTTTGTGGTGAGATGCTTTGGTACCACGTAATCTTTATCTCACTCCTCTTCAGACTTTAAATCTATCTGTCTATCTATCTATCTATCTATGACAGATGGTCTCATGGATTCCTATTACATTTAGTGGGTTATAATCCATTTCTATTGTTCAAATATAGTTCACAGGAGCCCTTTCAGGCTAACTTCAGTGTCCTTTTGACATGTCCGCATTTTTCTTTGGGCACATCTTTACTTTCTGGTGCCACAAGATGTTCCAATCTCGTCTTATACTTTCCTAACCCTGAAATCAGCCTTTTCAACAAAGAGCATTTAGTTCCTTTTAGTGGAGAGTGGTATTTAGAAACCAAAGTCTGAGTGTTTGATGTGCTCGTTGCTGTTGGATAGGCACTGCTCTCAGGCACTCTCAATGGTCAAAATTAGAGAATATATACACATTCTATCTGTCAGTTGATTGATTGATTAATCAATCTATCTACCTACCTATCTTGAAAACCATGAGCTCACCCTGATACCTTTAATTCTACTCCAATACCACTAGGTTCATTTTCTCTCTTTCCATATTTGTAACCTCCTCCTTGACAACAAGGTACCTGGTTCCTATTATCCTCAATATATTTATTATTTGATCAAACCCCTCCCCCCTTATGGAACCAATCTACTATTTTCCTCACCAAACATGGGTTCAAGTGTCACTTTCTGGGTGGCAACTGCTGTTTCCTGTCACCAACACCCTCTTCACCCAGCTTGGGCTCCAACATCCTGTGCTGGGTCACCCGTGTCCCTTCCCACCCTGCTCTGGCTCCAGCACACCACTCTGGGCCACTGGGGTTCCTCCCACCCTCCCTGCAGACACTCATCTTGTTCAGCCCCACCTAATAGCTTTTGGACTAAATTATTCAGGAAGGAAAGGGAAGGGAGCAGGAAGAGGGAGAGCATGGTGACTTTCTTGATATGTTTTTTTTTGTTTTGTTTTGTTTTTTTTGCGGTATGCGGGCCTCCCACTGTTGTGGCCTCTCCCGTTGCAGAGCACAGGCTCCGGACGCGCAGGCTCAGCGGCCATGGCTCACGGGCCCAGCCGCTCCGCGGCATGTGGGATCTTCCCTGACCAGGGCGCGAACCCGTGTCCCCTGCATCGGCAGGCGGACTCTCAACCACTGCGCCACCAGGGCAGCCCCTCTCGATATGTTTTTTAATGCCTTCAGGTCATGGAGCAATGGCCAGCTGAATGTTTGAGGCAAAGAAAACTTTCAGAAGAGGCTCTTTGTCTGTGCTTAACAGTGACTGGTTGGCTTTTCCCAAAGATCCTTACTTGTCGAGTTCACTCTAAAGTCTTGTTGTGGGATGGCTTGGCACAGAGATGCCAGCTGGGCTCTCCATATGGTATCCTAAAAAAAGTTTTGGTACCACTTGAATTCAGCCCGGTCTGGGGAGCCTGCTTCACAAGTAAGTGATTGTAAAGGGCCTTCATGAGAACCTGCAGCCTCACTGGTGGAGGAAGTTTCTGCAGGCATCTCAGCAACTTCTGCTCACATGGCAGGCAGGATTCCATGGCTCTTTTATCAGTTACAGCTGGCTCCACTTACCTAGCCCTCCCTTGATATTATTTCATTATAGAACCCTCTCTACACTGCATATGCTCAGTGGTATTTTCAGTTTTCTTCACTCCATCTCTAATTAAACCTCTTACCTTATTGCTCCATACTTTACTTCTAGCACACAAACAAAAATTAAGACATCTCCACAGTTTCCTCTAGTTCCCTGACCTGCTGTGGTCCGTCATGCTTCCCGCCAGGCTTAAAACAGGACAGAGTCCTAATGTCTGCTTTCAGCATCCCAGTAGCCCCATACCGATTTCTCCCATACTTCCTCCTATGCTAATGCTGATCTCCTCCCCCATATCCCATCCGCATAGGCTTGGTTTCTGCTCCTTTAGTAAGATGGTAGTTCATCCATGCAAGTCTGAACCCTGCTTGGGTCTGGTTGTCACATTGACCACAGTCGTGATAGATAATGTGTGTGCAGCTCACTTCTTCACATTTCCCTCTAGAACATTGAAAGTAGGTGGCAGGGCTTCCCAGAATTACAACCTGGATTGAAAGAAGCTGAATGCAAAAGGTAATTTTTTTCTATCCGTGCCTGGAAACGTTTAGAGTAATGCTTAGCCAGCCAGCTTCCAAGTTGGTGATCAGGAAGGAGGCTGACATATCACTCTTAGCAGCCAAACCGGACCTTTCATGGCCAGGGTCAGAACTGCTGGCTCCAACTCTGGTTTTGTGAATGGAGATGTTGTTGAGTTCCTACTACATGCCAGCAGAGGTGACTCAGCTGGGTCACTGCATGACACAGAGTGACAATTTGATATTAGGTGATGAAAAATATAATTTTTAACATCTCCTCTGGTAGAAATTATGCTGGTGACATGATGGAATCCTGAAATCTTAAGGCAAATAAAATCCACTGAGAGCCAAGGTGTGATAAGGAAAGAGAAGTGCTTTCCAACCATTTCCCAGGTGTTGAAAAGATACTTGTTTTTTGCTTTTGGTTCCCTTGCCTTTCGAGATGGAAGATGCTGAGATTTCTATTTTTAAAAGGATGTAATCATTTTCAAAGACCGTTTATTAGGAAAAATTATATGGAAATTGAATCTCGTTGGTTCTTGCATGACTTTTAACAGAAGAAGGTCCACTTAAATAGGGTTCGTGTGGCATTTGTTCATACAGAAGTGGACAAGGCAGATAAAGTCCCCGCCCTCAGGGAGCTTATAGTTCAGTAACAGAAACATCAAAGAAAGGTGGCAGTTTCATAACAGAGAAGCGTGGAGACCTGTGGAAGATCAGAGCAAGGAAGACCGCCTCACTGGGGGGATAAGGAAAGTCTTCCTTTCTTGGGAAACTATCATCTAAGTTTTGAGTTGAAGGAGTTGGGTTGGGTTCAGGGGGTGGGGGAGATCGTTCCAGTTAGAAGGAAGGGCACCTACAGAGGAAGAGAACTTGGCATGTTTGAGGTGCCTAAATAAAGTTAGGGTGGGTTAAAGGAAGAGATTTTAAACAAAACAAAAGACAGTTGATTTGGAGCCAGACAGTGAAGAGCTATGTAAATCATGTCAAAGGTTTTAGATCTTAGACTTTATCCTGCGGTCAGTGGGAAGCCAGTGAGGATTTTCCAAGGGGCAATTATCTCCACAAATCTCCAAGCTGTCCTGCCTTCATGCATGAATTGATGAATTAAAAGTCTTCCTGCTTTCCTGAGTCCATTCCACCGGCTTTTTTTCTATGTACGTCTAAAGGCCGGCCGCCATCTTGACGAGTGCCCTGGGTTATGGGAGAGGCCATGCTCCCAAGAATGAACACACGTGGGCCTCCTCTTGATGGTACTTAGAAGCAGAGACTAAAAGAAGCACTTAGGCAGGTGCACAAGCCTGATTTGAAGGTGTAACCCACGCACTTTTGTAAAACGCCCTTGAGGAATGAGTTTGGGAGGAAAACCCAAACATTTTAC